GTTGAGATAAAACTAAATTTTTATTTACTCATTGGAACAGCTGTACCAGTAAAAGTTAATAGTAACTCTCTTCTGACAGATCTATTTCTAAGTGACAAATTATTAGTTCATGAATGGCTTATTCATTTTTCTGTTGTTTTTTCTATAAATTGTGAATGATATTTATTTTAAGATTCAAAGAAAAATACAGGAATACTAAATTTTCTGAAATCCCAAATTTAAAATATTCTCAAACCACAAATATTTCCAATCGTCACTAAATAGTGTTAATGTCAATAATAATACGTTTATACAACACTAATGAGTAAATCTGTTTAGATGAAATAATTGTACAGAAGCATTCGAAATGCCCTTTCAATGCAATTAAGTTAGTTAATATTTATTTTATGTTTTGAAACACTAAAAATGTGTTTATCGAGATTTATCTCTGTGGCTTGTTTTCGTTTGTAATCACGAGTTGTAATCTCAATAAAAAATATTACAATGACATTCATATTTATTTACGACACGTCCTTTTTCTGAATAGGAAAAAATTGTCTCTAATGACAAGTCGTGTTTACGAATATCCATGTCACGTCAAAATGCTCTAATTATCCCACACATGCGATAATAATACGTAAACAAATTAAATTCTAGTGAAAGCGATGAATTTTTGGGGCCATAATTCCCCTTATTGTACTGAAAATTCACATTAATATTTTTTCTACTTCTATTGTATAATTCTCCCTTTACATAATGATAGCCATTGTCAGCTTCATTACAGTATCGTTATTTTATATATTTCAGAGATTTTGACAGTTGAGGTGAAATCAATCATTGGTAAACTTTCTATTGAAAGCTTGGACGGATTGTGTGTATTTCTGTCCCGAGGCGACTCGTGAAGTTGCGACCGCACATATCCCCCTCCCCAGTTTCCACAACTCATAAAAAATGCAAAGCCCTCATTCAAAATTCTGAAGCCATCGGTGGGGACCGTATCAGTTAATAAACTGGAGGAAAAGAACAGACACGGAACTTTGATGACATTTCTTTAATAATTGAATCCAAACAACTGGTTCGTGTGGGCTCGTTTGAAATCAGGCTTATGCTTACCCACCTACGTGTTCCCTAGGTGGCTAACCCCTAGGTGGCGTTGGCAGTATTCTGCATTCCAGCTGTAATGTAACGGTATAATGTAAAAGTTTAGCTTATAAAAGCAATCAGTAGTAGAAGAAGCACTGAATGAAATTTGATGTAGTGGGTTTTAATACACACCCTTATAAAGTTTACGACACTAGCTCGTTCCTCGCTCGTGTTGTAATAGCACTTCGTACTCGTCGTATTAATACATGTATTAATACTCTCGAACATTAATACGTGTGTTAATACTGATCGATTCATAATTTACTATCATAGTATTTATCTAAAGCCGAGTGTACTAGAATTGAGGCTGGTATTTGTGTGGGGCCTCGGTCCCAATGGCATCGCTTGAGGCGCCTCCGGTGCGGCGTGGTGCGCAGGTGGTGCTGGTGCTGTGCCGGCTGCGGCCGCAGTACACCTTCTCGCACGCGCGCAAGGCGGCGCCGCCGCTGCTGGGGATGGTGGCGATCGCCATGGCGCTGCCGCCGCCCTCCGTGCACGAGATCCGCCTCGAGTCGGACATGTTCGTCACGCGCATCAACTTCGACTTCCGCATCGCGCACTGCGAGCCCAGGTGAGTGCCCGCGCCGCGCCGCGCCGCGCCTCGCAACGCCCCGCCCCTTCCCGCCTCTTCCC